GGCGACTCGGATGCGAAGAATTTACGCTCAGCTGTCATGAGCCGAGAACTAAACATAATTTTCGGATGGACGATTTTCTTCATAAGAACAATTTCCAATCAACCTTGTGCCATTTATCTCGCTACTTTCAGCTGTGTTTTTATCGTCGGACTGATGATCAATGGCAATCCCTAAAGCTAACCCAGATTTCCGATCCCTCGACGATTCTAGCTATGCCTAGACGAAGCCTCTCGCCAAATAGTAACGGAGTCGAACCTCTAATGAGTAAAATTAATAACGTCCATTTATAAAGAAAAAATGTAGATATATAGTATATCTGCAGAATGTTTCTTAAGGCTTGAATATAAAAGCAATTCCTCGCGATACTATTTATAAAAAAGCTATATAAATTAGTAAATGTTATATTTAAAAAGTAAATTTTTTAAAATCTTTATCTTCAATTTGGGGTCAGCAATTTATGAAAGATATCTTTATGTACGTAATATTTCCAAAACGATTAAGAATCTATCACAAAATGACAATATCAATTTTACAAGGTACCATGTTGTCGCAGTACTCTCTGCTTTCACCGCATTTAATTATATAGCGTTATTGAATTCATTCGATGATAATCACCGAAGTATCGTCTACCAACATCATTCAATCAACATATCAAATATCTACCGTTTGTTAGAAATTCGTGTCGGACAATGGTTTTCTCGTCGCAACGGCTCGAGTTGCGATTAGCACAAACGGTATGCGGCGAGTCCTGTCGCACGCACACGATAATTCCCCCGATTGTTGCGGGGTCATGGACATGGACAACGTATAACCATGGAACAAGAACTAATGCTGTCTCTTGAACTCAAGAGTAGCGTCCAGGAGTAGCCGTACTAAACACGTACAAAAAGAGACACAAAAATAAATCACAAGTGCGAGAAGGGCCCTTACACGAATCCACTGGATTCACGCCTACTTACAACCCTCCCTACGAGTATAAGTATACCACTTGAAAGAACAATAAAAAATTTGAAAAGAAAAGCAAGGACTGTGAGGGATTTGTTTCGCGGGATTGATTTCCGAGCTCAAACGTAGGTACGATTTAACGCTATGTCGTTTTGTAAGAATATGTGGCCTCTGAAGTTTCCGAAAGCGCTTCCCCGACATACCTCCCTACACCCTTCCGATCTTCCCGACCGAAGGGTGACACCGTTCTCCGGGACACCGAGTGCACGCGCTCTCGAGCACAGGAGCGGTAGTATAGTAGTAGTGGTAATATAGTAGTGACAGTAATATAGTAGTAGTAAATTTGGTAGTACAGTGCTAGTATAGTAGTAATAGTGGTGAACACAGTGGTCGGAGTGAAGTGTGGAAGTCGAGATCTGTCTCGGCGGTAATTTTTTTTTTTTTCCGGTGAGTCGCGGCGTCGAGCTCGACGACGAACAAGCAGCGACGAGGACGCGAGGCCCTCGAGGACGGAGAACAAGTCGCAGAGAACAAGTAAATGTCGAGGGTGTTTCCGGTCGCGCCGCTCGCTCTCCGTCGTCGATCGACCTCGTCGACGAACCGCGGATGGGGGGATAAGGGAATCAAGTGCCAAGTCCTCACTCGTCGCTTCGCGCGCACCTTCGACGTCTCACGGGAAGATTGTTCGGTCGTGACCGACAGCAGCGAAATCGCGACCGGCCGAATGCGGGTCAACGGGTTACTCTTATTTATCTCCCCGGCAAGATTCTACCGCGCGCGGACGGAATCAACCCTTCACTCGCGATTCTCGTCTTCTTTTTTTAGACGCGCATCCTCCTCAGACGAAGAGCGTTATTAACGTTCTTTATCATTTAAGATTAAAGATCTTAAGTGAGATTAAATTTTAAATTAGATTACATCTCTTAAAACTAACTTTGGAACTAAATGAATACTAAATGAATATGAAAATAATATTCAATAATTGTGAAAATGGAAAATAAAAAATCTTATTCACCGACATCGCGAGGAAAGGGTTAACAAGCTTTAGAATGAATATTTATTAAGAAATTGATGACCGTTGTTTTCACATGATATTTTAACAAGTATTAAAATATTCAAAATTGTAAGTCATTCAATGACATTCATTTTAATTTTCTTCTATTTTGAGGTGCTACTTTTAATAATAATAATATACCGAGAAATTAATATTGATCAAAGAAATAAAAAATACATAAGTAAAAAATGCATCAAAAATATTACCAAAAATATTTTTTATTAAATTTTTTATAACGATTGCTCCAAAGATAAATTTTTTTTAATTCGCAATCTACATCTCTTCGAAGAAAATCTGATTCAACTATTTAATTTACGCCGCGGGCAAATCATCGTCGTCATATCGCGTGTCATAAATAAAACGCTGACCCCATCCAGCGATCGCGCGCAATAATTACCCCGTCAATCATTGATTAATTATTTAACCCGTTGTGACCCGAATCGATTATTTCTCTCTGGACCGATTTTTCTCGTGGCGTTAAAACCGCACTCTTCAACATATTCGAACGTGATCCTTGCTTTGTCACTGAAAATCACGACATACGTGTATGACATCTACTCTTTCACAGATCTACGTTATCAGATCAACAAAGCATTCCCAATATTGAACACCGATTAAAAATGGATTAATCCTCGCGAAGAGAAAGCGTCGATGCGCTGATTGTGAGAGATACCAGTGAGACGTCGGCGCGGTCCAGCGAGATCATATACGGGGGTGCCGAGTGAGTCTGGCGGTTACTGGGGATGGTACACTTCCTGTCGCAAACGGGGCTCTCTCTCTTTCTCGACGTTAGTTTGCCACGTGTAGCAAAAACATTATTAAGACATACTTCCAGCCCGCTCTTTCGCTTGGCGCAAGAAAAAACAACTCCAGAGTCTCAGGATACTGACCGTGACGGTGTAGGAAGAGACGAGCGGCCGCGAGTAGGGTCGCCGGGTCGTGTAGAAGTCGCTCTCGTAAACCATGGTCGCTGCTGGCCTTTACGGTTCGCTCTCAAAGATACCGTTAAAAATTCGTCGATCGAAAAATCGGGCGCGCTAACGGGTCGTTTTCTTCTTTTTTTTTTCTTTTCGTGCACGCGTGCGAAAGGGGTAGGACACGCGACGACGATGCGGCCGCGATGGAGGTTCGTACGATTCTGCTTTCCCGAGCGTCGGCACCGCTTCTTCTTCTTCTTCTTCGTCCGGACTCTCCTCTCCTCGGCGTGTGCCCCTCTTCGCCGCGACCGCGTTCACCTCGTCTACGCACGTATGACTCGCGGGAACGAAACGAGAATTGCGTCACTCCGCGGCCCCCGCGCGCCGCTCCCCGAGCCGATGCACCCGCGAAAAAAATAGATTCGTGTTAAGGACGTAGCCACCCTCGAGCGACGTCCGAACTTTAGGAGGCGAGATCACGTCAAAAAGTAGATTTTTTTATATTATAAAAAGAGTGAAATATATACAATAGAAGCGAAAAATAAAAGAACGACAATTAAGAATAAAGTCGGAAGATTATTAAAATGTAATCAAATTAACAAAACCTACAAAGTCGAGGAGGATGATTTTGAAAGCTGAGAGCTAAAACAGATACCATTTTGCTGATTGGAAACCTGATACTTTTGAGTTGCCTTTTTTCTTTCGCATCGAACCACCAATTTTCTTCTTCGATTGATGTTCAATTTACGCCTGTTCTGTTTATCATCCGAAACCCCGCTTTGAGACCTGATTCGCGGCCAGAAAAATGTATATTTTTAAGAACGATATTCTTAGAATGAAATACAGCTCGTGCATTCTGGAGCTGGACAATCGTGTCAAGGTAATCATCGGGCATCCCGAATTCTTCTCGAATACAGATCGGTGTTTATTTCTACCTGTCATGTCAATTTATCCCTGCACTCCGTTATTCGTAATATTTTATAAAAAATGTTGTTGCTACAAATAACAAGTGTATGAGATCTTCAATATCTATCGCGAAAATTGCAAGTTCTAAAAAAAAAGCATATATTTTTCAATCCCTTTCAACATTAACTTAAATAGTTTACTCTCCGAGCTGAAAATATATGCAACGTTATTGAGTATTCAGAAGAAAAATAAATTCCTCAACTGTCTCTTAGGATCAATTTTCTGTCATCTAATTCACGTCATTCCTCGACGACGAAACGAGCACAATGGAGAACTCGCGAGGAGTGACGATTCACCCGCGTTTGTTTATTCACGACCGTAATGTATACAATGATAAATTCACGTTACATCAGGTATTACATTGGCAGCCCCCCAGGACTTTGCACAATGGTCCACGTTCGGGTCCAGTGCCAAAGAATACTCGCACAATGTGTAACGCCACGCGCGGATCGTCGGGTTATTTGGAGATGAAGAAAGGATTCGCGAGAAATGAAGTCGAATCGCGTGGAACAATATATCCTGCGAATCCTTCCGTTATTCTCATTCGACAATATTATCAAATGACAAAATAACGTGTCCCGGCATTGGGACTCCAACTTATTAATCTTGAAGGTACACGATTGCAGAATTCGCGATGAGACACTCGGGCCGAGAATAACGCAAGCCAAATTCCGAGACGCAATAAACGTATATAAGATACGAGCGCGCGAACGGCTGCAATTTTAAGAAATCCGCAAAATATAACGCCGAGCGTTAAAATAAACCATTCGTAATGTTCGTATACATATACGCAAGGATTGTCATTCGTGAAAAAGATTTATTCGGCCGACGGGTAGACGAGCAATAAATCGATCTCATAAATCTCGCGGAACGGGGACAAAGACTTCGCGCCACCAGACAACAAACATTTCTGCGACGGTCGATTAGAAGAATAATATCTCGGATTCATTATGATTCTATTCTTCGCGGAAAAAAACAATAGAGAAACGGCAATAGAATTTCAAGGTATTTTCAAAAGATCGACGAGTTCTTATATCTGCAGCACAAGCTTTGCATAAGAAATTATCATATCATATCCAAATGACACAATTAAAAAACAAGAAAAAGATATAATGAATTATAAAAAATGCTATATATTACAGATTTACGTATCTGAGTAACGGAATAGTACAAATCAATGTAAACTCTGTTTTAAAAAATTTTATCCTACTGATCGTTAAACAGTTTATCCCAATTATCTCTGTCTTGGACTCTTAATAATAATAATAACTATCCCTTATCGTGTTTTTTGTCATCATTGCATCAAATTTGCGAAAGTGTGCGATCATATATTAGCGGCTACATATATACTTGTGTATATGCTTTCATAACAGTATTATTAACCTTTTGTACATCAGTCTATACAAAATGTTGCATACAACGCGCCTTCTCTCGACGGCTTATACAGTAGACAGGCGTCGGTAAATATGTGACGAACACGGTACGAAAGTTTTAATAACAAAAAAATAAACAACTGGCACGCGGTTAGCCCTCCTCGCTGGGTCAGTGAACCTTTGGCTTCGCCGACTTCGTCTTCTTCAGCTTCTTCAGTCCGGTTATGTTCGTCTTCAGGAGATTCCAATACGCCTGCTGGAATTTGTTTACATCCCTGGAATGGATCTGAAAGATGAAAATCACGTCTCTCAGAGTGGTGCAAATCGATCGCTGACTGTCATCCGCCGATGGAAGATACGTACAACAGTGGAAATCTTCTTATTGCGAAGCGATGCTCGAACTAGGCAAAGATACTCTGTAGGAGTCGGTAGGGGAGGTCTGCCTTTCCTAGGCACCGGTTTGTTGTGTCCATTAACTGAAATAAAAAGCTCCTTAATACAAATACAAGGAAAGGAAAGAAAACAAGGCATAAAAGTTTGTGCCATAAGAAAAGTGTGTTCCTTGTCAAAGCTACAATTCAGAAAGTTAAGGGCTGTTAGAGTCTTCCAAATAATTTTATCTATTTTGGACAATTGTTATTTTTGTTCTTTTATCTAGCAACAGATATTTTAAATTAAAAAAACCTAAGGGTACTCACATCTTTTAATGGTAAGCGACACCGCGCCCGAAAGACGCGACTTGTCAAAGAGTTTGGTTAACTCCGCTAAGAACTGCAACGAAAATTCAGTTAGTTGTTCATACACGAGAGAGCAATATCGGCGATGAGACGTCAAGTTACCGCGTCATTCTCCAACAGGACCATTCTGACGATGGTAGCATATGTCAAACGCCAGAACACGTTCAAATGTAATCACCTGCTCCGAGAGGTTAGATGAGGTTAGGAAATGCAGCCGCAGATTTGACGTAGACTAGAACCTAGAACCATAAACTACGCGAAATATTCAGATGTCTCGCATACCTAATATTTACGATCAATTTTCTGTAATAACAAATTAGTGAAAGGAAAAAAATCATTAGATTTTGAAAAATAGGATTTTAAAAATTACCAAGTCCTCAAAACCACTATTTTGATTTTAATAGGATTTTGAAAGTTGTTTAAATTTTAAAATCCTATTAAATTTGATTTGAAAAATTAGATTCTATTTAATTTTTATACAATTGTTAAATTTTAAAATCCTATTTCTCTCTAATCTGTTTAGTTTTCCGAATGTTTTCCGTTTTCTCTTTACCACAATAAGGAAAGGATGAGGAAAAACACAATTTTGCCCGATCACGAAGCCTCTCCGGCAAAGTCGTCTCCCTTTCTGACTTACCGCTGGTATTTAATGGCCAATGTGGCTGCCACCTCATCCGATCATCGTGTTCGTCGTGATGCTGTGGATGTTGTGTGAGCGCGGAACTTTTCCTTGGTGACACGGGAAAACGTCTCTTTTCCAGGACGATCGTCGAGAACGAGGAGCGAAATGATTCAGGCTCACGTGAAAGCCTTCCTGGCGATTCTCCTGGTCGCCCAGGTGCGCGGCATCATGTTCTACCTGGAGCCGAACAGTCACAAGTGTCTAAAGGAGGAAGTCCATGCGAACGTACTCGTCACAGGGGAGTACGAGGTGTCCGAGGCGATGGGACAGAAGACGAATTACGTGGTGGGTAGATCCTGATCAATGATTTTCCGTTCGTCCCTTGCCAAGATATTCCTACAATTGCGCTAAGCGCTGCTTAACATTTTATGTTAACCCTTGGCGGTTCACACAACAGCTGTGACAGAACTCGCTGTTTGTCTCTCTCCTAAAATCACAATAAATATCAAAACATTTTAATGGTGTAAGTTGTAATGAGATAAATTCTAATAATCATTCTGTTTCTTACAGATTCAGGACTCTAAAGGGCATATATTGTCTCAGAAGGAAGACATTCCCCATGGGAAGCTGTTAAAGTTCTCCTTTGTTACGGAAACTTACGATACTTTTGAGATATGCTTCATTTCACGTGTTCCAAGCCGTACGTATACCTACATAATTTGTTAATTTAGTTTGTTCAAATTGTTCTGTTATGCGATATCGTTTAATTGCGATGGGACGGATATTTAAGAAAACGTGAAAATTATTTCAGATCAGCGTGGCATCAGGCAAGAAATTAAGCTGATCACGAAACGCGGCATTGAGGCAAAGAGTTACGAAGGCGTAAGTCTCCACTGTATATCGTTACAAAATGTTTCTTTACAAAAACATTGTTAGACCTATCATATCCGGGGAATTCCGAGAGAAACCATCTGACGTTACTTCGTTTACTTTCTTTTATATGTGGCTTGTTTCCGCGGTGCAGTTGGTAAAGTAGAGTTTTTTCGATCATTGTGTTCTCGTTGGCATGCGTTTTATTCACGAACCGGCACTTGTACATACATTGACAGCTTTAGAACTAAGCTATTAGAGCGCAACACAGTTTCATTAATTTGTGCATGCTTTTGTCGCGGATGTTCCGTTAACGGGGAGAGCTCATCTCACCCACGTGAACGTTTTAATTATATTCAATTTATGCTCTCCACTTGAATTTATATATCCTACTAAAACAAAAATTATATATTGAAAATTTTCAGTATGGAACATTTTTTCTGTCACTAAAGTTCTTTAAAATATGTTAATGGTACATCCTTAAACATAGCATAACAGCAGCATAACAGTGATGCATTTTAATACCGAATGTTTCAGTTCTTTCACAATAATACTAAAAACATGGAATACTAATTCCATCACGTGTGATATTCCTAAAATTGAAACGCTTCCCTCTGCTACAGTTGGGATATCTTTTTATTTCTAAAAGAGAAAGTGCGAGCTGAAATGTTCGGTATTACTTAAATGTTTTGAGCGAAAATTGTGCAATCTTTTACTTGTGTTTGAGATAAGATTTTTAAGAATAAAGAAGTCTGTGTGAGAGCGTTCAATGTAATTAGCTGATTTTATTGTATTGGACCGCTCAAAAATTAGAACTATTGCAATCAGACATTGTATACCACATGGCCTAATATATTTTTTCACTCTGTGCAAAACACATACACGCAGAGTAATTATCCATTATTTGGCTTTAATTCTATAGTAGTTTATTGATTTGAATCGATTGTGTTACGCAGTACTAATGAGACCGCTGAAGTTTTCGTCGAGGATGTCGCCATTTTCCGATGAAAATCATTATCTTTTTCGTTAACAGATCGGCGAAGCAGCCAAGTTGAAACCAGTAGAAGTAGAATTGAAACGGTTGGAGGATTTGTCTGAGGCGATAGTCCAAGACTTCGCTAGAATGCGCAAAAACGAAGAAGAAATGAGAGACACAAACGGTAAAAAAAAAAAAGAATTATTTTTCGTTACTTCGTTAAATAGTGGAAGAAAATAACTTTACACTTAAAAGTATAATTTTGAATTGTATACTTAAACTTCTAAATTATAAACGCGATTGATAATTAAATGTTATAATCAATTGATAATTAAGTATTTGTAGTTGGAGAAATGATCCAATCATCTTTCTTTATTTCAGAGGCCACGAATGCTCGGGTATTGTACTTTAGTTTATTCTCGATATGCGTCCTCTTCGGTTTGTCCACCTGGCAACTCTTCTACTTCCGACGCTTCTTCAGGATGAAGAAACTCATTGAATAAATGCATTTGTAACAAATAATGCAAATGTAAAAAAAATACACTTATTTTTGAGTTTTCATCTTTGTTATCTGTAATTTCGTATTTGAATCATGGAAAACTTTTTATATTCGACGCAATGTTCAAAAAGTACTATTTAAATAAATAAACAAAAACGCGTTACAATCATATTACCTCATTCAAATCAATGTAAAATATGGTGAGCTCTCATCTCGCCACACATTGCGCATACATTATCGAGAACACAATATTTAAGTAATTGTAAAATAGAAAATTTCTTAAATAAAAGTATACCTTGATGGTAATAAAATGGATCTTCCAAGTTATTGTCTAAAAACGATATTTTACATCAATATATATGAAATTATTTGTCTTAATATTAAGATATCTAATATATATATCTTTTACATATGATTTATAAAAATCAATACATTTCTTATGACGTAGCTTAATGATTGTATAAGATAATGCATCATAGTTTTAACATTTTATTTATAAAATAGAACAACTTTGTGGGAACACACAATAAATGGCCTAAAAAAATATAATGATGAAACATCACATTGGAAGACGATTTGTTTGTCACTGATTCGAAGGCGGACGCCTTCAGGATTTCTGGTGTAATAGCTATTCGTATGGTCTTGAAGAAGCATGTTTAATATAACGTAACGTAAATACTCTTGCGCTTTCACTTTTAGAATTTAAAATTAAATTAATAGTACACACGAAATGAACACAGAAAAAAGCGCAATTTTACGTTCTCTTAATGCTATAGTAACTTCGTTTTTAAGATATATAATATTTGCGTGTGAGTATATCATCTGTATGGACGTCACGGTTAATCGAGGTTTTTATAAATAGCTACACATCCTAATGAAACATTTGTCTTTCGAAAAAATATATATATTCAGAGGAGTGTATATATGTATATGTACACGTATATTCGAAGTAGGAAAATAATATATATCTCTAAACTTCAATTAAATAACTTTTTATCACAAGCTGAACAACCAAGCAATTAAAAATCAGGTTCCACGTGAATGACACTGATTCAAACTAGGCACATTGTAGATTTAGTACACAGGCAAGAGTAAGCTTGCGGTAATAAAATCACATGTCGTGTCGATTACAATGTTACGATCGTTATATGGCATGATTATCATTTAATGCAATGATTTATATTAGAGTAGACACCACATAATTAATGCCGCGATAATAGAGATGGAATTCTCTCTCTCTTTTTCTCTCATGTTCATCGTTGAAATAATTCTTTCTATTTATTACGCATTATTATAACATTCATTTATTACCGCAATAAAGCTATAACTCGAACCGTCACTGCCATTACGCTTATCACTTTTAATTACTACGTCTATCGTTTCGCGTAGTATCTGCCCGATAACAATTTGTATACTCACAGCTAAACACATCTTCTAAATAGACATTATGCAACAATGAATTCGCTTTAGCATATTTTAGCATACTCGGGCTAAGTAATTTATTTTCTTGACTACAAAATTAGAACGTGGGAATTTAAAAAAATAAAAAATAAACATTTAATAGTATTGTCAATTGTTATAGATTAAAAATTTATAATTCCGCAATATGAACTTCTATCAGTTTTTATAATTATTATCTCATGATAATTTATCGTCGATTCGCTATTTTTCACAGTTAATTCGTTACTGCATAACACCGTCTAAATACTATTGCCTGAGATTAAAAGTTCAACTAGTATAACAGGATCAAGAATTTTCCGACGATCTTTCCTCGTCGTTTGTACACATATTTGTTAGACCACTTTGTTTCTGCTATATCTAATAACAATGACGACAAAAATATATATATCTACACATATATCTATATATATACATATATAGCTTTCTTTCTCGCCATTTCTTAAAGCCAATTGTACCATTATCTTTCTATTACGAATTTTTCGATAAAAATCCGGCTCTCAATTTTCCATAAAAATATTGGTCTATTATTCGAAACCTCTCTTTAACTCTCAACAACATTAGGCATCTCGGCACTTAGGCGCACTAAGTGTTAAATCTCTCTCTATTAAAATAAGAATCTGGAAGTCCTACGAAAAGTAAACGCTTTTCGTATCATACTATTCAACTATGTTTAGACCCCTACTAGTCCTTTTTTCGAAAAAGATATATCTTCTTTGGATGAATATACACGTGACTCGGAGAAGTGGTACTTCCGACACACGGCATACATTCGAGGGATAAGTCAAGTCCCAATTGGACTAGGATAATAAGTTACAGGGAGTATTGTCGAGAACTATTCGTTCCAACCGCAGAAACTCGTCGCTTGTTACGGCGACTGCTGCAAGTCGGATTGTCAAGCCTTCGCTTTCTGACGTCTCAGATCGTTGGGTATTATAGTCGTGAGCAAAACGCCAACTGCGAGGATGCCGCATAGAGTGACGTTTGCCCAAAAATCCTCCCAAACGTTAAGCAGGTAACGATAAAGTGGGGTTAAAGCGATGCCGAAGATCTGCACGACCGCGTTCAGCAGACCCGTCGATGTTCCTTCCGGCTCCGGGAACGTGAGCTCCGCGGCGAGCTCGAAGCCAACCGGTAGGTAACCGGTCATAAAGAAGCTATAAAAATATTCACGTGATATAATATAAATAATTACATATAAAGAATATAAAATTTCGAGGTAGTTTCAAGCCAAAGACGGCCGCTCAATTATCCGTCACACTTTCGGAGACTTTCTGAATTATTAAGGAAGAGATAAAACAAATTTTAAGACGACAGAGATCTTCAACGAAATTCAGCCAAGATGTAAAACATCTAATAATAAATCGAACCAGAATTCAAAGTCACATGAGTCAATAAAGTATTTTAAAAAGTTTTACGTATGACAAAAATAATCGTTGGACTTTACCCCAAAATGCCAGCCGTGATGTATATAGCGTATATCCCCACGTTCTTGTCCAGGGTGAAAGTGAAGATTATCATACCCACCAAGGAACAAATATATACTCCTACCGTCGTCCACCTGTAAATTCATATTTCCTGCGTTATTTCAATCGCATACATTTGCTGCCATCAAATAAATCGAGATGAAACTTGACCCAATATAATTTGATAAAAGATTTAGCGTGATCCAAATCTCTCTTATTGTTAGTTGCGTAACGTTTACCGTTATAATAATTAAGTATTATAAATCAGTTCGATTTGAGATGGCTTGAAAAGTTTGAATGAAGTTTGAAAAAAGATTAAATTAATTTATGAAAATAATACTATAAAAGATCAAGATTGAAGAAAAATTCCTCGATTCTGTAAAATAACATCCTACTCACCAGAATTTGTGTGTTTTATCTAATAAAATACCGCATGCAATGGAGCCCACCATTCCAGCGCAAACTATTGTCAAGCCGATTCGACCGGCATCCTCCTCACTGTCCTGAAAAGAAGGGCACGGCTTATTAGTTCTTCTCTTTAAACAGAAACGTAATCGAGAAGCTTATTTTCAAATAAGCTTATTTTCAAATAAGCTTATTTTCAAATAAGCTTCTCGATTACGTCCTCTATTTAAAATGAATCGGAAATCCGAGCGGAAATCGAGAAGGGTACGCACAACCTTCGGATAGAGTACTTACCGGGAATTGTTTGATGACAAGTCGGTTCAGGAGGGTGCTTATAGCGTAAAAGGTGCCGACGTTGATGCCGTAGCTAATTAAAAGTAGCAGATAACCGCGATTCAAGAACAGTCTCGTGATAGACTCAAAAAATGTCTTCACCTCCCTGCTGCTCTCGGATTTCTCTCTTTGCACAGCTTGAGCGGAGCTAGGTGGCAAAGGCGGTGCCGACTTGAAGACTGCAAATTATTGGTTTCTATTAAGAGCGAAAGAACGGAAGAATATACGCCGCTGGACATAAAACAATAAAATCTCGAAACCGATTAATCCTAGCTAGTCATACTTATTTACGAGTCCTTAATTTGCCACACTCCGGTCCGTGAGACCGGTCGACTTTTTTGTCATTTCCATTCAAATTAATATTTTTAAGCTTGTAATATAGGAATTGGAAATACAGAGTCTGAATAAGATGTTTACGATGATATTAAGTCAAGAAAATGATTTGTGTTTAAATCGAACTTATTATAAGGAACCTAGAAAATTATGTTATTATGTGAATTTCATAATTTTTTCGGTGACAAGTATTTTGTCAATGTCGATTACTTTCATTTGTATGTCATATATTATATTCTTTAAATCTTTCGACTTCGGGATCTTATTGACAGATTGCGTAACTGTGTAATCAATAGGTAAACATTATATACACGTACGGAGTAATATGAGGATTAGCACGAACGACGTGAAAGCCGCGACGGTATAGAACATACGTTGAAGCCCCCTCTCGATGTCGCAGATCTCCTTGTTCGGCACTAACATCGGCGGAAATAAGAAACCGATAGCTATACCCAGCTGCAACAGAAATCCGAGTGACGAGCGTTCTAAGAAATTACCGAGTCAGGAAAAAGGCAGAAAGAAATGTTTGTCGTCTAAATTCATAGATCTTCTTCAATTACAAAATATCTGTCTTCAGAACGGAACCATTGTGTGGTTGCCGAACAAATTAAATTAATATTGTTCATATACATCTTTACGTTGTTATTGAAGCGAGATATTTTTATTACCAGTTGTTAAAACACATAGTTTTCGTATATAAGTCAACGCGCTTCAAAAGGCCAATATTATATATTTATAAAAGAAAAAACGCGTATTCATTACATCTTTCTAATAATTGCAAAAATGTGTCTTCTATCCTCTACTTATCATCATTATCATCATCATCAGTTCTACTTATATCAGAAATTAAAAGCAGACGAGACAGGAAGGATGAGGTATATTGGATCTCTTCTTTTTTCTGAAAATTCGTGATCCTTAGCGCGATGCGAAATAGGATTTTCAATTACAATACGCGGTCGCGGTTGTGCAAAATGCATCGGATTGAGCTTCCGTTTTATCGTATTGCGAAATCGGTGCAATTAAGGCGCGACAGATTCCCTGATAAAGTGCGACCGCGACGGTTGATAAAATGATAGCGACGGCACGGTCTGCGGCACCTTGGATCAATTGAATATCCCTCGCGACGTAGAGAGTGTCCCCCTGCCCCCCCTTCCTGCCAGTCAGCAGACACGGCCGTTCGTCTGTCGAGGTAGCGAAATTAAACGTGGGTGCCCACTTGGACTCGGTTTCCCACCTAATCACGTCGCAATTTAAATCTCCCCGAGGCACCCTCCTCGTCGATCAGCGGAGTAGGTACTCCAGACTGTCACTTCCGTTGTTCCGCACGCAGGATCCATTCTCATTGTCTGCACGCACGTGACACGTGTTGCCGGTGACACTGTCGAGTGCCTCCTCTTATACGTTTTTTAAATAACAAGTGCTGTCACACATCGACGTTTAACGTCACGGAAAATCGGGCCTCACACATAAGAGCGGGTATTCAACTCAAGAGACGAGCTTGCATAAAGATCCTTAAAAATTTTCAAGACGATAACGTTTCGATTGAAATAAATTAAATTAACCAGCTAGATAAAAATTTCAATCAACTCAGTTTTTTTCAGTAATTTAAATTCTCAGGAATTTTTAACACCATGATTTTTCCATCCAAATTATGTGAAATTAAATCAGATTGAATATTATACGTTCGATGGAAATGAAAATTGTTGCACGCATCAGATATGCAATGAATTCGGAAGTTATTAATTTACAGCAAGAAATGGGATTATCAAGCTATAATAATTTCGTAATAACGAATTACAATATTAGTAATCCGTATTCGCGCGAATGTGGAAAGAGATACAAGATATTTAATTAATATACCGCGGGCGTCGAATTTATTTGACTTATTATCGAATTACGATGCTAATATTATCACGCGCCTTCATCCGGGTAATTACTGTAATTAGAGCGACTTTATTGCATAGATTAATAATAATTTACATACGTTGCGAAGTTTAGCGTGTTGCATTTTCCTAATATATCCTCACAAAGATATTGTGCAAAGATAATACATTAGATTCAAAACGTATAATAGTGCAAAATTAAATTCTTACACTATTCAAAAAGCAGAAGATATAAGTTTCACATTGCTTACATTTTTTCTTTTTATTTCTCTTATATTTTCTTTCAGAAAATCCTTAAGCTTTTAAGGGAAATTTGGAAAATAAAACAATTTATTTGGACTTTTGATACAATTCGAGGTGTCTAATCGATCTGATGAAAAAAATCAAGTCGAGAGAGAGAGAAAGGGAAAGAGAGCGAGAGAGAAAATCTGAGATTGAAATTCTCAAGCCTCTCTCAAAGTCCGAATATAAATTCTATCCTAGATATACCGTGTTAAGGTTGATGACACACAAAGATACTCCCTTACCTGATTGCCGAAGACACCGATGCCGCAGGCTCGACTGACTTCGTTGTCCCCGAACCATACCGCGGCCAGTCGAGCTGGAATGGACAAAATGCAGGTTTGGCTGATCGCCACCACAGTTTGTCCGACGAACGTGACCCAGAAGCGATCGGGGGCTATGCTGAACACTTTTATCCAGGAACCGATGGCGGTCCCGAACGCCCCGATAATCACCGTCCACCTGAGGCCCTAAAATCCCACCACCCGTTCTCTCACACACTTTGTTTGCGCATTTATTAATGAGCAGGAATATCCGCGATTGTGCAGTAAAATGTCATTTGTTCGAGCATCGCTTGGAAAAAAAGTGACTTTTCAAAAAGAAGATCCCTTGATGCGGGACGCACGCTTCAGCATCTGCGAGATTACGCGAAATCCGACTATCTCGCTCGACGTCAGACGATTCGGCATTCCATGCAGTTGTTCGGCGACAGATGTAAAACCGTCCACAAACAGCACGGGATGCGTTATATCGTTCAGTGACATTCAGATAAAATGTATACACATCATGTACTACAAAAATTCTTAAACCACGCGATCTCTACTTGCCGATGCAACTCGCCAAGTAAAACCTAAGAAAATCAAGAGGATCAAACTTTTCGATCGCCGCTTTTTGGTAATCTCGAAAATGGAGTACGCGAAAGAAATTCGTAGCTAAGGGAATGCGATAGTTTTCCGAAATATCGTATATTTCTATTAAGTTCTACCCTCGTCGTGACTTACAAAATTATCCAGCAGGTAACTGGCGGGAAATATCAACGGTATGTACGTTATCATGTATATCATGCTCGTCATGTCGACTGTATAATCCGAAACGTTGTAATACTTCGTTACAATGTTCGAAATAATACTGTATTGAATCCATTGCATGGAGTTGCTGGCGCTGTACACCACGAAGAGGATGAGGATCTGCCATCGCCTCGTATAGACTCTGATCTCCTGCAATCAGAAACATCCATTGTCGATCTTTCAATTTTTCGCTCGAACGTCTAAATATCGCGCAATTTTGATATCCTCGGTCTCTCATTCTATATTTCATCGGTTAAAAGAATGAAGACTGAGAATTAATCTCATACAGATTGTTATATACTAAAAGTGACGCTAACTTACATATTGGATTAATATATGCTATATATGTACGTTAAAAGTGACGCTAAATTACATATTGGATTAAATATATGCTATTAGCGGCAAAAATGACATCAAAGCATATTTAATGCAATTTCGCGTAAAAGTAGGAATTATATTGACTTTAATTCTCTACTGGTTCTCGTCCCTTTGGGACAAAAGTCAATTAATTTTTTTGATATATAGACCTTGAAGATAAATCTATGAAGGATATATGTCATTATATTACTTTGGTAATCCAGGATTTAGAGGATAAGATTGCTAAAAATATCGCGTTAACTCAAAGCGAAAACTCTTTCCTCGATATCTGATTTTCCTCTTTATTCTTTTCGCGACCGTTAATGATTTTTATTCATTCGACGATAAAATTATTCACCTGCGTCGGTTGCATGCTGCAATCACCGGAGAATCCACTCATTTTAATTAATAGTGATGTCTGTTTACAACTTCCGTCAAACTTTTGTGCCAAGCTCCGTCACGTCATTAATATCGAGTAACAAGGAGATCGATTGAATCGAGCAGAGGTATCATCGAGAGACGAACCAAGTCCTTCCTTTTTTATTGAGGGCGTTTTATTTCCTAAAATCCAAGAAAACATCGATCTCACTTCTTCCATCTTCTACCTCTCGGATAAAGGCGAAATTGAAGTATCAATATACCAAATGCATTTAAAATGTCAAGCGCTAAATAATGTCGAAATTCGGAGATCGAAGTTTTGTAAAACATCTCTATTTCTGAGGAACGTCTATTGCGTCAATTCAAATTGACTCAATTGCGTTGCATGAAAGCGTCATTGCGAAATTGCATCAGGAATCAATCTGCCCATTTGCGAATTCCATTTGTGGATTCGCGAGAAACTTGCCGTATGGATTACGATGAATCACAGTATTGGTAATTAGGACTTAATAATCTATTTCGATCTAGCAATCATCTCGCGAGAATGCAACTGCGCGTTTGTGTAGGCGTTTGTGCGTGGGGGTCTTTGTATGTTAATTAGACGCGCATTTAATAATTAAGATTCGAATAAGTCAATAGGGACACCGATAATATGCAGTAAAAAATGTATTAACATTAGAAATTGAATCGAATGTTCGTTGCTCGTCTTTCTGCAGGACATCTTTGATTCCAAATTAACCATGTTAGAAATTCTGATCGCACCACGTTGAGAGCCCAGACGAAAACTGCGATAAGATTGACAGTTATGTTAGCTGTCCAGCTAAATATTAAAGTTTTTTAATATCTTCATATAAAACAGGAACTTTTCTTCGCCAGTAAATAGTTGAGTCGAGTTAAAAACTATTTCTCCGTTATCTTTATATAAATAATATTAAAATATTTTAATATCTTCATATTAAAACGTTTTAAAATATTTTCACACGTTTAGATTTGCAGTAGTATGATTTAATATTTTCACTTACGTGTTAATATTTATCACACGAAGTAAAACTAAATATTGAAATATTCTATTACATTACTATCAATATAGATGAATATTAACTTTTCTTAATGATTAATTGAACAATATTAAAGGATGGTTAAAATCATGAAAAAGAGAATGATAAAAGTTAATGAGCAAGTAGGAAAGCGTAATCAATTATACATATAGGCAATTCCGCGTCAAGTCAAACAAGAAATGCCCTCGTATTCAATCGATCGAAACTTTTTTCGTGTCAAATACACATAAAATAAGGAGATACGTATAAAATATTCGTCTAAAATATTTTTTTTTTACAGAAGTTATAATACAATTTTCATGAAAAATGAAGATGCCGGCAACTTTAAAAAGTAATATCTCTGGCTATATTAATATCTTCTTATTTTATGTATATTTCATGCGAGAAATAATAAGTTTCAATTGATTTAAAAAATATGACGTCACTTCTTGTCCGATTTTACGTGGGGATTACCTATATACATATATAGTAATCTACAAAATTTTAGAAATGGAATTTTTATTAATAAACGTTGATAGATTCTCTTTTTACGATAATTTTTATAAATCTTTGATCGGTTATTTACGATTACGCGAACAATATAAATTTCGGTACGCATAATAAATATATAAACTTTGATGCAACAAGTTCTAATCGAAAAGATCGAAGGTATATTTAGTTTAAAATATTCAACTACCTTACACCGTTTATCCCATCTCCTTGTAACTGGCCAAACATATGAATTAAAATCAAAACTCGCAATTACTTTACCAGAGTAAACGGTCACGCGTCCCGCCGATTCACGATCGTATCTTCGCACCGCACATTGTTAATTTCGCAAAGACGGCAGGTGTCAGATTACATCGGCCTCTCACACCTCACGTCGCCGGTATAAAGCGAACGATAAAACGCGGAGCGGCTCGCGCTGTCGTGATGTGCCGGACGTGGACTAAGTGTATCGCGGGACTCGCGAGAGCATCCAGCCTTCCACCGTTCCTCGCCAAACGTCCCTTGTCCATCGTCCCCCGCCCGCCCACTATACGTCGCATAGTCACGCACGTGAAAATATTTGCGCACACAGCCGAGAGCCACACGCCGTCCTTATACACGCGGACGTTACGCGCGCGCCTATCAATGATGGTATCAGTTGACGAATGCGCCGTCGCAATGCTAGTCGCTCACGGGTGCCCGACGGAATCGCCGACGACGACGACGACGACGACCGTCGTCACCGATGCCCCATCGCCATCAGCCGCGGACGCTCCGCAGACGCCTCGCGAAACCCCGCGAAGTGTGGCATCAGGCCAGGATTTCGCAATTTCGGTGCGCCGGTGTCTCGGTTCTCTGGCGAAGCAATTTTGTTAGCGAGCAGTAACGCGTTAATCGAGAATCTAGTTAGAGAAATTAAGGTCCATAAGACCTTTTCCGACCTGTGTCCGATTGTGACAGAGCGCCAAGTCCCAAGTTATCTAAATCCCGGCGAAAAATTTGGGATCTGTGCGATTAACGTTTGATAACAGAAATGATTCACATGTTTAAAGTTTTTGTTTTTCTACAATTAAAAATTGCATACATGAAAAAGATTTAAGGACGTTCTCTCGTCCTTATACTAGAGAAAATCGATTTTCTTAAGATTTTCTTGAAACTGTGAATAAACTGTTAATTTAGGTGTGCTTTATGCGTGGTATAAATTTCAGTACCTCTTCCGGTATAAAAAATCAAGATACTGAGCCTCAAAGTTTCAACTTTTACTAATGAAAAGGTTTTCCAGGCCAAACGGTAAGAGATACGAGGTTGGCCAAGAGGACCAAAGTTGCTCCTCTCGTCGAGTTCTATAAGGAAAAAATGCCAAAACTAAAAAAAAAAAATTTAGAAAATTTTTTTTGAAACTTTGAGGCTCAGTATCTTTTTTTTTTATACCGGAAGAGGTACTAAAATTTATACTACGCATAAAGCACACCTAAATTAACGTATATTCACACTTTCAAGAAAATCCTAAGAAAATCGAACGTCCTTAATAAATGCTTTTTTAATCATCGCGCGACAATGAACTTCTTATGCAATGCGTGGAGCAACAGTATTTGCATAATCCTATCTTGCAACGTCAAAGAATTATTGAATGGATGAAACGAGCGTCCTTTTTATTCACGATCGAGTTAACAAATGAGCCCTCGAGTCTTATATAAAAATTGCCATCGCCAAAATTATCGAAAGAGGAAATATGATTAGTTGCCGCGTGATCAGGCATACGAGATTCCATCGACGTTAAATGTTAATTTTATACGTCAATAAAAAACGATGAATCACTTCGAAGAAGCATATATAGGAACAGAAACGCGCGGTGTAAATTTCCAATCTCTCACCGTTATCTTCCGATGACCCGATTTCTTTTCGATACATATGGAATACGAGTTCTGCGCTATGTTTGCATAGATATACCTACCGTCAACGACATTTTAAAGTCATCGCGATTAAACAGCCTTAGCAAACTGCGTCAAGACATTTTTGCTAATTTATTTAATGAAACTTTGTTGAGTGCAATTAAATAACTACAGAAAAGAAAATAAAATAACAGATAAACGCGATAGCAGATAAAGCTGCAACTGATATATCGATTCGATATCTAACCCGAGAACACACGTCAATTAATTTAAATATTAATTATGTTACATTATATTCATCTTGTTAATTTAATCAAGTTAATTTAATAAAGTTAATTTAATTTAATTTATATGAGAATGTTTCAATGAAATTTATAATTGGCTGTTTAGTATTTTATTGTGACAAATATTAAATGTTCGCGCACAATTAATGTAATGGAATTTTTTTAAATATTCGCAGACAAGAAACTTTGGTATTCACACACATTTTTGAGAAACGCTAGTAAAAGCCACGACGATAACTAAATAACAGTAACCAGAAACACACTATCAGCAAACTTCTGCCTTATCAGCCGCATGCAACCGCACAGAATAACAGCATATCTATATATACAGGGTGTTTCTTAAGTGATATCGCAAATTCCAGGACGTGATTCCTTGGACGATTTAAAAGAAAATACCTAGGGGTCCGGAAAGTTTCATTTTTATTTAACTTTAAAGGCCCATAACTCTGCAGGAAAGCATTTCCAGATCCATGTTCATAGAAACTGTTTTCTTTCAAATTGTCCAAGGAATCACTTCTTGGAGTTATCGACATCACTTAGGAAACACCCTGTATATATTGTATATATGATACGAGCCAAAGTCGTCGCTTCGAGTTTCACAGTCTAAAAAGAGGCCTTGTTTTATGATAATACCTTGGGACTCTATTCGGAAGCATAACATTATATACAAACGTCTGAAAGACAAATACTTTTTGTTGCTGAGAGTGAAATCGGTATAATTGAGTTTCCCGGAGAGGTGAGTTTCTATAAGAAATTAATTATCTCTCTCACACACAATTCTCTTATACGCTTCTGATATCCATTATCTATGTGTGATTATTTGATTTAATATATTCCACGCGTTGTATTATAATTCTGATTATATCCATTCTAGTGAATTAGAAAGTAGAATGTAGCATAACTGTGAGATTCAGTTTTCTGCATTATCGGGCACTGACTCGTCGTATTACAAGCTATACCGATTTCAGTTTTCATTTTACCTGCGGAAGAAAACTGATCGAGGAAGGATGACTCGCTTCCGCCATGGGAACTGGATTCGGTTTCCTTTTCAACTTTCGTTACCACTAACACTCGAAAATTCACTCAAAATGGAAGTTCGGTTTTAATTAGTTAAAAACAGAATTGATTTATCAACTGAAAAATCCAGCGAACTAATTCCGGTGCCGATTCCGATAATATTCCGTTAATTTGTCGATTTCCGAATATCGTTTTCTTTTCAATTCAGCAAAAAATTGATGTGAACGCGAAAAGCGACTGCTGGAAAACGACGTCAATCTTCTCTCTCTTCGTTTCGACGTGTTATGCACAATAAAATCAGCAAGGCAGAGAGTCACGTTTCTGGCGTTACACGCGGATACAGAGTGAAGTCTTTGAGCGAGAGTTAAGGCCTTTGCACAATACCAGGCAACAGGCAATAGGAACAGGGAATAGAAACAGAATTTCCGATGTTATTGGATTTCTATTCTCTGTTCCCTGTACCTGACCAATCATAGTGATTTGATTTTATATGGCGCTCTTAGTGATTCGTCGGAAATTCTGTTCCTATTCCCAGTTTCTATTGCCTGTTGCCCGGCATTGTGCAAGGATCTTTAGATAACTAATGAAGTTAGCGATTGGGGATATCGCTTCAAGCGTGGACGGTAAGAACACGTGATAAGTTACCATCGCATAATAACTGGCACCGTTATATTGGTGCTGTAATTTCGGCTATAAATTTGAAAGGAAAACTTTGGAAAAAAACTAAAAAAAGAACTAAATACATAAGTAAAAGAATAAAAAAATACAGTTTAAAGTTCAACTTGTTAGAGTTTTCATGTAATATTTACGCATGTAAATATTACTTTCATTTACTCGAAATTATCATATATTTGCGTATATATTGGGAGGAGGGCATTTCCCTCGTTTACCGGCGCCCGCGCGTGGATAATTAATAAGATCATGCAAATGTGCATATATTCGCAGGACAGACATTGTTTACTGTATAGAGAAGAAACGAACGTGTATGTGTGTGTCGAGTGAATACGATAATGGAATATCATTTCTTCCCTCCATTTCTTTCCCCCCTAAGGTGAAGATTTCATTCGTATAATAATTATGTTAAGATGCTTTAATTCTGATAATTCTTAAGTAATTAGAAAAGAAGATTAGAGAGAAGTGATTAGAAGATAATGAACGAACTGTCTGCGCCACATAAAATTTATTCTTGTGATTGTGTAATACTCGTTACGATTAATTTTTTAATGAATTCTTCTTGACGATTAAAATGTACATTTTTACCAAAGTAGAGCGCGCAAAGTTTTGTGTAATTAATTATTTAATTAATAGAGAGATAAAACACAGTGATAGTTATATGAATATGTTGATTATAGTATTACTTAGGTAGAGAAATGTGTAAAATTATATTAAAATGGTATTAATTACTTACAAGAGCACAATAAAAATTTATTAACAAAGAACCGAGTTGCATCAAGCATTGTATAAACAATTAATAAGGTATCTATCAAATAATCATCTCGAGATAACGTGCTGTCGTCACGTGGACTCGTACCGTATTATACGAATGATCTGCTAATAGAATAATACGATATTTTCGCGTTATATAGCATCATCAAAAATACCATTTTTATTTTAGTAATTCAACCGACAATACAAATATCATGCAGAGATATTTATAGAAAAAAGTGAAGCATGACATATTATTCAGGCAATCATTAGCAAACGAATCTAATGCATGTACTCATTTTTATGTCAACAGCTCGAGATGCGTCATAACTCTGTCTTCAAACAACGCTGGACAGCATTTAGATGAAGACATATTAAGGTAGTTCTCCGGTCCTTGTACTAGAGAAAATCGATTTTCTTGAAACTGTGAATATACGTTAATTTAGGTGTGCTTTATGCGTGGTATAAACTTCAGTATACCTCTTGCGGTATAAAAAATCAAGATACTGAGCCTCAAAGTTTCAACTTTCACTAAATTTTGGTAAAAATTGAAACTTTGGAGACTCAGTATCTTCATTTTTATACCGCAAGAGGTACTAAAGTTTATACCACACATAAAGCACACTTGAAAATTAACGTATATTTACAGTTTTAACAAAATCTATAGAAAATCGATTTTCTCTAGTACAAGGACCGGAGAACTACCTTAAAGAAACCATTTATTTGTTTAGAAATAATAACACTTTCAGAAACCAAATCTAATTCTTTGCTCCATATCTACAATTACTGTAAATTAATAACATACTTGATAAAACAATGTCTCTTAGAAAAAGTAATTAAAAGTATCTAATAAAGAAAATAAGAATTTTTAACATTATCACGTCTTGATAAGTAAAGTATTTCCTTGAAAGTCATATCTTTTTCATGTCAAGTGTACGTAGACAGCTACTACGTAAATACTATTTAAAGTTTAAAAACTTACATTTACTCAAAATGTAACAGAGTATATTGAAGTGCAAAACTATCTTCAATGTACAATGTCAAGGCGTCTAATTCAATAATGAATTCCATAACAAATAGCTGAACATTTGACTTTCAACTGCGTCTAACAGCAAGAACTTAATATGCGTCACATGCATTAATAATAGTAACTAAAATATTGTTCCACATTAGATCATCGACGATAATAAAAATTAAAAGCATCTGTTCTTTTATTCGTTTTTTTCTTAAATTATTCTTCCTATCCACTTATACGAGAAGACATATGTGTACACGAACATGCGTCTCTGCACATCGGCGACTGACGGAGTGAAGATCACAACGCCAACAAAAATGATATGTTTAGGGTCCCGAGCCGCGGCGACGTCTAGGGGCCTCGACACAGGTGGAAACTCACTAAGACTCACGTGCTTCTCGCGTCACGATGAAGCAATTGTCGCGTATTGTGCGAGCCGAGAAAAACGAGCTCTCCCAACTCGTGGTGAGACCGTTCGCGGGGCCGTATAAGAACTTGGTTTCAGTCGGGCCTTATCGCGAGTACGGGACGGATACGGGACGGATACGCGGATGCAATTCTTGCGAAATTTTTCGTGCGGAGAAGAAAGCGGCTGCGCTTTCGTGTGTGTTTCTGAAATAGAGAACGCTCCTTGCCTTGCCTTCTCCTCGTGGGAGAGATAAATCGCGCGAGAAAGACTTCCCGTGGATAAAGCGGAGGTGCAAAGTACAACTTGAATTGGGAGATGTGAAGTACGGTTCGGATAAAAGAGAAAAGAGAGGAAGAGGTTGTAAATTTATGGTAAAAGTGGGGAAAATTTTTCGTGAATATTCAAACGATTTTTATTTTATTCTTTTTGTCTCTTAAATTTAAATTACAAATGCTAATTGTTAATTCTGCTACACAATTCCATGTAAAGAAAATGTATTCTTAACTTAATGTAAAAAAAAATTTTTTAATATGGAATTTTATTATAAATACAGTTACAGTAAAAAAGAACAGTTATAGCAATAATCTAAAAGATTTAATTCTACTTTTTTTTCGTTGATTAGTATTTATAATTGTAAATAAAAAAATTAGAACATTTATAAATGTCGAGCAGTTCAAAATCATAAAATACTTGAGTTTTTAATTTGAAAATTTATCAAAGTTTATCAAAATTTATCAAGTATTTTAATTTTGTAATTTTTCAATAACTTTGGATTCTTGAACTCGGCTAATATTGATATCGGAAGGAGATATTTTTAACGAGTGCTATTCAGTACTAAAGGTCACGGGAAATCGATAAAAATTGAATATACGAATGCGGTATACCGTTTTTAAAAAATAAACGTATACATTTAATTATCGACAATATTATAAAAGCGTTATTCTCCGTATTCAGTTCTACCCATGCGATGTTTTTTTTATTGCACACAGAAATTTGCGCGTTCTAAAAATTAAACATATGATAATCGAAGAGTAATCCAGATCTATCAATACTTAAATATTTTTACATATAAAATTATGTCTATCTATACAAAACATGTAGGTACATATATAACTTCAAATAAGATTTAAAGCTCTTTAATTTCATAGAATAAATATCTGTGTTAATTTAGTTTAATATATTTTTTAAACTGTTGAAAAAAGACAAAAAATCTTATGCATTTTAATCAAATATTAAAAAATTCTACATAAATATATGAATAAAATTATATAATATACGGTCGTCCAAGGATTGCTACACAAAGATAAAAGCAACACCATTATTCTCTTTCCAAATAAATAAATATTAAATTAGATTAACTCTTTGCGGTTCAAATTATTTCTCACTACTAAGCAAAGATATGTAATTCAATCTAAGCAGCAAATAAATCAAAGAATTTTTATTATTTAAAAAAATTTAGAGATTTTAAAAATAAAGCCCGCTGATTACAATCCATTAATTTCGAGTGCTTAATTGGAAAATGATATAGAAATAATTTACTGCAAAGCATTATTTATGTCGAGCCCAGCTCGACACAGGAAAAAGGGTTAAATTAAATACAAGAATTACATTTAATATCTGACAGAAATAAATTGCGAAAGAATAAACTTTGCAAAACGTATTTTCAGAGAACACCTGTGCATGACAAATTGCAATTCAAGTGAAATAACAAGATCTTTCGGGGCACGTTCTTGCTTGGCGCAACAATACTAATCGCTTCGGAATGATTCCGCGCACTCCACGCTACGATTGGCATCGATTGTGTATCAACATACGTAATATCGTATCATATCGCAAAAAGCGCGATCAACAGTCGACTAAAGTGCGTATTTCCAGTCGTATCGCGAAATAAGTACTTCCTCGTGTTAAAAAAATCATCAGTCTTGCTCGAGGAGAGAAACTTGTTCGAGAAAAAATTTTTTTCCGCTGCATCTTCATTAAAGATTACGTTCTTTCGAGTTAAACGAAAAAAAAAACATGATTTCGCCTACGAGTTTACTGGCGGTCGGAGTGGCTTCTGGGATTTTCCTCTACTTCGGCTTTCGATCGAGGTAAGTGCGTGAAAATATATTCTAAAGATTGTCAATTGATTCTTTACTATTTTGTCAAATGTTATCTCTTGAAATTTTTTTGCCGAGATATATTTGACAATTGTTCTGAATTGCTTTCTTGAGGGAGGGGAAAATGATTTATAAGAATAGACTGACCGCGAAGGAGTTTTATATATCTAATGGCGTTTTCGATTTGCGACTCAAACCGACTCGGGTCGCATCATGTATACAGGACTCTAGCATCATTGACGTGGAATACATACATAGACCCGAGTCGGGTCGAGTAGCAAATCGAAAACGCCATAAATCTCTGATCCTTCGAATTCTATACAGCTTTATGTGAGTCTCGAGATTTATTTCGAGAACTATCTCTCTCGAGAATTTTTCTGAAACTCGAATAGCCGAAGTACTTTGGAGACGCAATCTAATGCACAAGTATTACGCGGAGTTCCTGAATTTTTTATTTTTTCGATATATCAATTTCAATAAGTCCAATATGTCACTTTTAATCCTGAAATGCCAAGAAGTTTGAATATCTAAAGTCTTCGACTTTTCAGAAAGTTTAGAATCTTTCCAAACCCAAAGAGAATTTTTCCAGTACTCTATATACTTTTCTATATACAAACATTTATTTAATTCTCTCATGCATGTATTATTATTTTGCATGTATTTTTATATCAAACATTTTTTAATAGTGACGTAATACTAGCCCTATCCGGAAATTCCAGAATTATCAATGATAGGATTTGAACTTATCATGCCCGTGTGCCGGTCTTATCAATATCCATACTTTTTACAATTCCTCAAAAAAAAATTTGTGTTGTATCGCGAATATCGCGATAATCTCGCCGATATTGTCGTTGTGATGGTGTTTGGGACAGTTTAAGCCTACGTTTTAACTAAATTTTTTGCGTTTAAAATAAAAAAATAAACCACGCTGTTTTGAAGTAGAAAGATTAGGTTTTCACCTATAATTTTTTGTCTCAGTGAACAGTCTTATCAGCAAATTGCGTATCGGTAAAGATAAGCGTTGGAGTTTAACAATACCTGACTACCGCCTCGAAACTATTTGGGATCGTTTGTGACGCAACAAAAGCCGGGACGGTTTGTTGTACCGCCGACTTAAAATCGCGACAGATTTATTAATTCAAAGCGGATCGATATACCTGTCGCCTTCTGGTATTTTAAGATAACAAGATAGCATTGTGTCAGCTATGTGACCCGGATTAAAAATTGATTCCGCCCCTCGCATTCCCAGTGTATATCAATGCTTATAATAGAAGTATAATAGACTGTAAAATCATGTAGATTCGTAGATTGTATCGTACATATAATGTAGATATTTTCGTACAGTCTTGTCAGATTTGTCGATATTCTTTTATATCTGGAAAAGGATTATTTCTGAAAGTGATATAAGTTATTTTTTGATGAGCTCTCTCTCAGAAGTTCAAAACTCACACGTGTACTCAATTGAAATAAACCGCGCTTTCCAGGCAAATTATATTTCCATATCAAAATAAGGTTACTTTTCTCCTAAATTATCCTCGCAATAAAAAAATGAGCTGATGTGAATAATTAAGACGTAATTTCTCGAAGATAAAACAATCGCTATAAGATCACTAAAAAAGCTATACATATACATTCGATCGAAGATCATAACAAAATTACTAATAAATTTTTACTGAAGCAATTAATTTCATCGTCGACAAATTATCACATTTATTGTCTCAGCAATTCAAATTATTTAATTTCATTTTGCTGCTAACATTTCAAATAATAAATTTTTTAATCGCTTTTAAATCGTCATTCAGTGTCTTTCTTATATCCATTCCTTAATTTCGCACATTTGTACTCTACGCGCGAACGGCAGACTTATCTTCCGCGATGCGAATCCGGCATACGCGATCGAGACGGCGGCGAGAAACACTGCGTGCAATGCTCCTGAACGGAACACGCGTGAATAATATACCCGTGGTCCGCGACCTCACAGACGAGCCGGTTTAGGCTCGCGGTGCCACCGGAAGCGCCCACGACGCGGTGATGCGTGCGACGAGACGTACATCGACGACGACGTATCGATACCCGCGAGCGAGTGCAGGCGCCGGAGGGGAGAGAAGAAAGGGGGACCGTCATTAATGATGCACGTGGCGGGCCACGGGGCGTGGAATACGTCAATGGTAAAACGTCGGGCGTTGCACAATGTACGTATCGAGCCGTACCGAACAATGGACGCAACGGCGCGTAGGGGAACCGGAAGCACGTACAGGAACGCCGAACACCCGGGGATCCGCGCGCACCAGCGACGCTCTCTTCATTGTCGGGATATTCGCTGTCGCGGATAGTCGGTCTGCTCGCTGCGAAAGCGATTTCCGAAGGTGTCGAGGTGATCGCTAGTTCTCGTCCGTGCGAAAATCGGTCGGATTTTCCGACGTTCGCCAATCGCGAAAGTTCCTCTGTTCGACTTTGATGACTCCGAAACTGATTTTCCACGGAATCAGATCGCAGTCGCTTGTTGTGAGTCCACCGCCAAGGAAAGCGTAAATTGCATTGGAACGTTTCTGGCGCGTATTATATCGACATTGTCCTTCGAAACCGCCGAAACTCCTGTCCGACTATACTTGAAAGTAATTCTCCGCGAAGTCCGCTTTATTGTCTGTTATAAAAGCGGCACCAGAACAGAGACTTGAACGCGCATTATTTGACGTCGCTGCGACGACTAAGGCCGACAGAGCTGCTATTCAATGCTGGAAATGAGTTTTCCGCATGAAGCTGAAAGTCCAGGTTATTTTCTATTTCAGCACTATATATAGATTCGCCAAATAACGCGACGAATGACAAAGTCTTGAAATAGAAGAAATCAATTGTTTGACGAAGACTTTTTCTGGAAAATATTGATGTCATTTTAAAGAAGAGAGCACACGCGGAGGTGTAAAAAGATAAAAGGCTAATATTAAACAACCTATAAAGAAAAAAATTAGTTACGTAAAAAATACGGTGCGACGCTCATAAAATACGACCTAGGACAAAGCAGAGGAAAAGACAAAGATAAAAAATTGGAAGTTTCGATCGAAGAAGAAATTCGGCCCGTCCAGTTTCGGACCAAACAGACCAACTTGCCAATTGTATTTTTACCCAATGACAATAGCGCGAAGTGTTCGCGTTAGCATTCATTGTGAGACCGAGCTGAAGCTAAACGACCGATGAAACATTTCTTCCTAAGGATCATCTGCGGGAGAAAGCGAGAGAAACGGTAAGTGCGAACAGTGACTCGGTGCGGCTCGATAATTACTGCATACTTGCAAAACTCTATTCTAATGAGATGATATTAGATTCTTCAATTACACTACGTCGTAAATGGAGACGGTACTTTCTTATTGAGATGGGTAAATTACTGCTTCGTACCACTCACGTCCCACGTTCGATACGCCTTCTCTCGTGGCAGAAAAATTTTTCGCTAATTTCTTCGACAAAGGGAAAAAATAATACTAATAATATAATTAAACTAAAAACGGCATCTATTTAAAAAATCCAAAATCTAAAAAATGTAAAATCCAATCTCACACAGAATATAATTTTTCATGTTTCTAAAAAATTTATGAAATTGCACTTTATGCAGTTAAGATGATTTAATATTTATATCTTTATAAGTTACAAAAATCATCTTTTTTCACAATTTCTCCGTTGCTCACATGTTTCATCTGAAACGTATATTATAAAAACCTTCTTATTTACTCTTATCTATTCTTAAAGACTGAATATTATTGTAAAAAACATCAAGGAAGAGCTAACTAGTAAGATAGACGTAGGATTCATCGAGTAAATAAATATGGTGATGCTCGCTCGGACGGGAAAGGCATTTATTATATAATAAGAAACGGTTATAGAAGCGAGGATAGGTGATGTAATTGAATTACAACAACGTGTGTCGGACGCGAATCGCCTGTCTCTCATACATGAAGAAATGAGGAAACGTTCAAAGCGCGAGACTTTGCAGGTCATCGAAGTCGATTAGTTGTAAAAATTGGCCATTCTGTTAGGCGAGAGATGTGACCGATTCTAATTTAAAAATTAAAAATATATTTTTTATGGCGTTTAGTAACACATTGCATATATAAAAATGAGAAAAATTATTAAATCTATAAAAGGTTGAACTATACATGTACTTTCCATTCTTTTTACCAATTACAGTTTTTATGTGCATATGACGCACACTCTATTGACTCTATTCAATGCATACATTACATTTACGACTTATTATCACTTTATCCTGCAGTTTCGTAATCATTGAATAAACTAATTACGAAAAAAATATTAATAAACTTTTCGAAACTTTGTAATAGAAATGAATTTTTAGAGATGATACAGAGTTCTCTCATTATTATTGATTTTATTTGAAGTAAATTTTATTAGCACAGATAATAAAATTTTGTCGTTTTTTAATTTCTCGCATAAAATATCCTAACAGTCGCAATGAAAAATATAAGTGCGCTCAATAACATAATAAGAAGATTGATAATATAACCGTAAAAACATAAGTACACGGTAAAATCACGTTTGGTAAAACCAGCGCTTTTTCGACGGTCATAAATATCATGAAAAACGTGGTAAACGACAAAGCAACTTTCTACAGACTTGACCTAAATTTTAGCAAAAATATATTCGACTTGTCAGCAACGTTCTAATCGATCTCTATATATATCATTTCCGTTATGTAATACTATAATTCTAAGTAAAGACCGCTTGAGAAAAATTAAACAAACAAAAATGAAATGTCATCCTCCAATTGTGCTTTTACTGTTTTCTACCCTTCTCTTTCTTTATTTTCTCTTACTTCCTCTTTCCAACCTGGAGAAAGATTCTTTAAATAGAAAACGAAACGGGTTTCGTTCTGTTTAACGAGACGAAAAAGTTATCGAAAAATTGAGCACACGAAATATGAATCTCATTCAAAAAGTAGCTCGAACTAACATGATCATGACCGTGTTAATTATTAATCGTCTCGTGACTTCGAATCAACATGGACAAATATTCGTCTTATTATTTTTGATATTACGTCACCGTGTTCTCGTTAAAATTGATGTGTCATATTTTGCATAACATGAAAAGTATAAGAACTGGCAATTCTTCCTGACATCATCAAACAGCGACCACCGAAATTCAGTGAAAGTTTCTATTAATCGCTGCAACGCCAGCAACATGGGTCACCTAACCAACTAAAGAAAAAAGAGAGAGAGAGAAAGAGAGAGAGGGAAAGAGCAAGAGAAAGGAATACATCGTCTTAAGAATGTAACGAAGACGGAGGCTCCTACCATCGGCGCGCATAACCGCGCGATCCTGAGTTTCCCCGGCTACCAACAGTTCACTGTCACTTTCGAGCCAACAGTCCGGTACGAGGATACGATCGCGCCGGTTCTACAGCGCGAATGGTCCAGCGGAAATGGCATGCCGAGCGAATTAATACATTGCGGTCTGACCGCGGGCTAAAAACTCGCATCGCCGTCGACATCGTCAAAGACACGAGTTAAATTGCGACGGCCTGCAAAACTCAGAGATTAGAGTACTTTGCCCTCTCCATTAAGAGCCGGCAAAAAGTGCCTAGTCTAGATTAATGAAACGTCGAATCAAACAGCGGGCTGGAATGTAATAGCAGCAGGAGAAACCGCAAGATAGAAAGAGGAAATCGAAGAAAAGAGAGGCGGACGAAAAGAAGAGAGGAGGAAAGAGAAGCAGAAAAACCAGCTTGGAGGTCGTCCGGAGAAGTGCATAGCAAGGATAGCGGGAGAAGTTACGCAGTGAAAGGAAAGAAGTATCCGAGTGCAGGAATTACTTGAAGAGATTGAAGACGCAGTTCGCATTCAAATATTTGCAGGATCAGAACTTCGGAACGTCGTAAGTCAGCTGTACGTTAAAAATAGAAGAAGAGTCGACTGAACCGAAAGGAGATCGCGAAGTAGGTGACGAATCGCGAGGATCGTCCAAGCCTATTGAGGCATAAACAACGAGAAGAGGATCTAACACATATATATGTGTTAATATATAGAGAACGTTACGTGTGTGTATCAGAAAGGTAATAGAAAAAAGGAGGCCAGCAAGAAGGTTAAGCAAAAGATTTGCCTGCAGAAAATGGAGCATAAGGAATAAGGAGAGGAAGAAGAGGTGATCGAGCAAGTTTAAAATATACAAATCTGGGACATGTGATTGACAGAATTGATTAAAAAGAAACAGATTAAAAAGTATAATTTATAAAGAAAGAAGAAAAGGAAAGAATTAAATCGGAAATATTTTCTGAAGAAATCAAAGAACGGAATTACGCGACACACTTAATTCCGTGTAAATGCGTGACAGAAACAAAACGGGAAAGAAAGAAAGCAATTTAGCATAACAAATAACAACGGAATATACTGAGGAAAAAAAACGAGAAAAGAGAAAATTATTAATGAACTGTTTGCTTAAAGGTTAAATAGCGCTTCTCTCGAATCAAAGATCAGTTTCCTAATTTTCATGTTTGCATAATTTATTCCAGCCGTCATTCACTCTTCTTACGTAAAATTAAAAACCTTCATAAAAAAGACACATAAAAAGTGCAGACGAAGCTCGATTGTGATCGCGTGTCGTGCGCAGCGTTACATAAAACGACGTAACTGCCGCCGATCGTGCGGTGGAAAGCCGCTGCTGCGATCGCATAACCGGCGTTTAAATCGGAGTGCGAGCGCACGGCGCGTTCAGCGCGAAACACAATCGTCGCCGCGCGACGAATCAAGATCGCGGATGCGGGAGGATGCCGAAACGCGGAATGGATAAGCCGAAGAAGTCGACGGGGAAAGCGAGGATCATCGCGACCAGATGCGGAATCGCCGAATCACCGCGTCCGACATCATAAATAAGAGATTAAGGTCGAAAGAACTTTCGCATAATAAGTTACAAACTAATTTGCGAAGTCTGCCCATTGTGTATCTAGATATGTTCCCAATGTTCACAGGACGACAATTTTCCGAGAGATCTTGCAGTGGAATCACCGAAGGCCAATTGGATCGATGCTGATGGCCAGAAATATTCACAATCAACTATATCTTTCTTTCGGAACTGATATAATTAGTATGCTATGATTTAGAAATACAAACAGAAAAGTATTTACAGAAATATCAACGTTGACTTGGATTAATCGTGATTAGTTGTTAAATCCTTGCGCGTAATTGATAGTGCCATGTGATATAAAAAACGATGAGAATTATCTATTCAAAAGTCAGAGTGGAGTTGCGCGACTGGATCAAAGTTGAATAAAACGATTTAATTTCACAATTTCTTTTCCGTGATCTACATTGTGCCAAGAATTGCGACAGTCCTTTTCTAGAAAACTAGAAAAGAAGAAGTAATTTCTAAACAAGAGCGGAAGACGAGCGTCACCTTTATTCTTTCAAAGAACACTTCTTCTATTCTCCGGTCAGCAACATGATGATCTACGTTTCCACCTTGATCTCGACGCTTCTAATCGAGAGCGATAAAGTCGTGCCCAGTCAGGAGAGGTATAATATGGCGACTTTTGTGGTCCTCTTCCTGCTGATCACCATTGAAGTTGTGGTGGTGAAGGTGGTCACCTCCGATATGGAACGGGATGAAGACAGTCACTCGATAAGCGCGGCCGCGGTGTTCTTCGATCGCGAAGATTGAACACGAACGGCCATCAGCCAAATTAGGAATATTAATATTTAAATTATTTCAATTATTTCGAAAGTGGCACAAGAGAGCGATCCAAATAATTTTGTCAACGCTAATATAAAACGTTTTTATGGCACATAAAAAGATTTCTTTTTAGAAACCGAATATTTATATATGTATTGAAACTTCCGCAAAAATTACTTCATTATTTTAAAAACATAATTATATAAAAAAAAAGGAGAAAGTAAAAGTGCCGGTTTCACATGATAATCAGATCGTGATGATTTGATTATCATGTAATTTGATTAACTGATTCCACTTAACCGCTTTGAAATAGGTTAAACAGTGTTGCGCGTTGAAGTAAAAAGATGTAACATCGATTTACGACGTGTTTGACTTCTGCCACTTTCCAAATAAATATAAACCGTTAATTAAGTGTGCGCGATGACTGAGAAAAAAATAGCTAGAAATGCGGGTTATTGTAGCATAAAACCGTACCCACGCTGTACCTATTTATAAGTACTTTCTATTACATTCTCTTTCGTACTGTTGGCTCGCGCCAACAGGTTTCGATAATATGGGATCTCAGGTAGCGATATGTATATGTATGGGTGCCTTAGTATTGTCAATTTGGCTTCCCCCCAAACAATATCGACTAAATCTTTCTTCAACAAAAATATTGTTATTTTTGATGACGCGTTAATAAACTAAAATTTTTATTAATAAAGTTGTAACTGATGTAAACAGAAAATTATATCCTTTGATTATAATTCATAGATCAATCTCTTTTTCGAAATTATTTAATTTTAATTTAAAACGTGATTACAATTTAAACAGTATATTAAAAAAATTTGAGGTGCTATAAAATTAAAAAAAATGTTTTTATTAAAAAACTACTTAAACTCCAAATAATTTTTGACTTAAGTTAAATAATAAATAAAAGCGTCCCAGTCAAACAACAAGTAGTTTAAATCAATTTAAGAATTAAGAAATTCTTAATTTTTACTATAAAGTAATTATGTAGTATTGATATAGTGTTAAGGAATAAATTTTCGTCCCATATTCACTTTTGTAGAACACCCTGTACAGTAAATGCGCATTGTGTTAATAGTCGGTGCATGCATGTACTGCAAGCGCGGTTATTTTGTACCGTTACGACGTTGTAAATATGTAACAACTGTGTCCTAGAATATGTACATCGAGTCGGTTATTGTGGTTTCATAATATAATAAATTCGAACAATTTTATCACGCGTTTTATATGCTTGTTCTTTAATTATTATTGCACATTATGTGATAACTTTAATTATATTGTCTTCCATCATAAATACTCACATAAAAAATATTTGATGTCAGCACATTCTCAATGATTCGTTTATCAAACTGCTTGCTGATTTATTATTTTTATATATTAAACTTCTATATATTAGATTATTATTCCATCTTAGTATGTAAATGACAAATATATTTTGGCTGTAAATTTTGCGAATAATTTTGCGTCAAATAAATGTATTATTCACAGTTTGTGTGTTGTATATTTTGAGTAAACCCTCCTATTTACATTTAATAATTGGGATATATTTCATAAATTGAAATTAAATAATATTAAAGTGTATTGATCAAAATTCGACATCTCTGCATCTATATTTCCGTATAATTTTATTTAAAGAAAATTTTAATTTGCCTCGCAAAAAACAGGCGATACTAACATATACGTCTCTTTCATCATCGTGCCAATTTATTATATCAATAAAAATACAAAGAATGAAGAAATTTTAATTTTATTTTAATATATAATAATTTCTATGAATTATGAATTACATTTAAATAAACAAGCTAAAAAGGCAAAATCAATTCTGAAAAAAATCAATATCAAGTTGAAATCGATCAATTTTTATTGCCCCGTCAATTGATAAATATTCAGCAACATCTAATTAATTACAAAATTAATTAAAGATCTAACATGCGTCAGCGATCGATGCACGTGATTACGACCATAATTATTTTCCTGGCTCCCTCGATATTTGCATCCTGATTTATGAAAGAAAAAAATTTAGGAAGAATTCGAAGGCGAGGGAAACGAAACAACGAGTGGTCGTGGATGACGGACGTTGCGCCTGTTGCCTAGCACCGTTTCTAGTCGGCCGCGGCGTGCGCTGCAGCGATTGCGGCGCTAGATCCTGTAGGAAGGCCTGTTCGCGTTGGGACACGTCCGACAATGCCTGGCACTGCATATTCTGCCATCAACAAAGGTTTCCGCCAATAATACGCTTTCATACTCCCTACCGTATTATTTATTTTCGAATTGCATCCTCCATCCGTTCGATAAACGAACCATATAATCTTTATCGAGGTCTCTTTAGAGTCCCTATCATTAAGGTGATCCTAAAGCCGTAATCCTAACCAGTTTTTTTCTTAGCACTAATCTTTTAATTGGCTTTATAGAAAATTCTTGTCTAAAATTAAAGTACGCATCAAAATCTAAGTCATGGTGGTCGAATTTATATCGAAAACGAAAAACAATTAATATTTTTTGTGACGACCACCAAATATAAATTCGACCACCATGACCTAGATTTTGATGCGTACTTTAATTCTAGACAAGAATTTTGCATTTTTATAAAACCAATTAAAAGATTAGTGCTAAGAAAAGAACTGAAAAAAAACCGGTTAGGATCACGGCTTTAGGATAACCTTAAGGCTTTAACGTTAAATCTGCACCTGTAGTGTATTAAAGATTTTTCCAAGTTTATCATCAAATGGTTTTAAATAAAATCGTATTTAAAAGAAATTTAATTTACAATTTCGCAGATCGTGGCTAAAGAGGAATGACAAGTGGTTCGACAATTTCGGCGGCACGGCGAATGAGGAGGAGGAACTGCATGGGTACTTCGGCGCCATCAAATCGCGCGTCTACGTTGCAGGTAACGCGCGCAAGGAAATAGCGTAGCGGAATTCCTTATGACGTTATTCAGTCAAAATATTTCTGAGGCTCGCGACAAGGCAACGGCGAGGCGTCACAAGTGTTCCGGAACGTACACGTCCGGCGTGTGCTTTCTTTTTCGATACGTGATTTTGCACGCGCCGTTTTCTATCCCCCGATCGGCGAACGTCCGTCCTTGTTGCAAGGCAGAAAAGTCCGCGTAACGGAAGGAGACTTGAACAGTAAGAACGGCTCGAAAAGTCTCTCACGGTGATGCTCATTGTTCGGTGCGCGCCGGGTGATCCGCCACGTGAATAGTATCAACGCGCTCGATCGGGAAAGAGCGCGAGCGATCTAACGGCGAGGCGTACGGTCCAGGATTTAGAAAGCGACTTTTCTTCGTCCCGCGCAACGGACGGGTTGTGTGATTTGTGACTTGTTGACGTGATGGCAGTGACAACGCGAAGTTTCGAGCGCGGTTCCGCGATATCGAGGAACGAGTGCGCGAAACGTGACATTTAAAATTAAACGCGGAAGAAACGTGATTCCGTAACTGTGCGGACGTGACAGTCGCAATTTTGTAATCCGTATAAACTCAGCATTAACGCAAGTCGGAACGCGCGCATTCGGTAAGAGCGAGCGACACATTAATTCATCAATTGTGATGTTTGTCCTTACTTGGCCCCAATTTTTCAACAAGAAAGCGCCGTTTGAATGGAATCTTCCGCTTTGAGTATCGAAAAGATATACATTTTTAACAATGCTTTCAATTTTTCAGGACATGCGACCACGATCTCGAACGTGGAGCAGATTCAGGAGGACCGGGAAGAGAGGCGCATGGTGCACGCGGTCCGAAATTTTGTCGAGAAGATAGTCGACGGTCTCGTTGAAAACGTAGACGACACGCCGATCGATCGACTGTACGGGGACTCTGAGTGTAAGCGACCTACCGCGTGTAAATTGCAACTGACATCGCTGCGGTGTTGGTGTAAAATTTTAATCAAAATTGTAATCAAAATTCTAATTAATGTCCATTAATCCAGACGACAGCTTTCTGGAGGAATATCGTCCGCCGTTAATCGCCGCTCTGACTCGATTGGCTACGTGCCTGAAAGCGTCCCTTACGAGTAAGTATCCTATTTGCAACCTGATCTAATTCAGCTTGACGGGTGTTCTTTCAATTAATTATTTATCCTGTTGTTGAAACTTTTCAATTTTTTAAATCTTGTTTTCTCTCTCGTTTCTTTTTATTTTATGATTTATAAAACCAGTCGCTTTAGATGCACTCTCTCGTTGTTATAAAAGAAAGAATATATATATTTAATTTCGTGCAATATCAAAATCTTGCAGTCTGTATGAATATGTACCATGACCTGTATTTCTACATATGCATTTATATTCCGACCTCGCCGACACGCGTTAATTATTGTCTTCGGTGCTTATTTCACGCTAACACTGCTAAAGAAAATATCTCGATGAGTCTCGCGCAATTTCAACTTCTCGCAGCATATTTATAAATAAAGAGCGTGTTCCTTTAGACGGTGTTTTTTTTTTAACCAAAAATAATCCAATAATAATTATTGCATTATCTTAAATACAAAAAAAAGTTTATCTTATTATTATAAATCACACAAATGCATTATTATTTGCAAGCTCGTAGATATGAACAGATTTTTTAAGGCTGCGAATGTCTCCACTTCCAATATTTTCATGATCTTTTAATTAGAAAAATATAAAGCGAACGTTTAATAAGTTTAATTAAAGTTTAATTAAATAATTTAAAAATCATGACTTACACGACTATCACTGCTCGATGATTTTCATTGAGTGAAGTCCAATTCAATTTTCAAATTGGTTCAAGAAGTACTAATTATTGGATTTTTCAACACGGTAAGAATAAGACACCGCATGTGCAATTCGCGGATGAGTCTTGAGATCGACCCGATGTAATATCTTACCACGATGACGTACACCGGTTATTAACTGCCGCCCGTGATAATGCCTTCCCGACGAAGACAATGCGCGCCGCTCCGCTCCACCGGTCGTCATTCTCCAGGCATTTTATCATTATACCCGCGTTCGCGACATCTTGACGGCGCGCGATTACGTAAAAGACACTACCGGCGCTCGTAATTATCGTAGCGTCCTCATTTGGCTCATTCCACACAATTTTATTTTCCCACGGCAAGCCGATCCCGTTAAAAGTATTCAAACGCGAAAATGAAGACAGTCCTCCGTCCGTCGCAGCGAAAGTGGATTCATTCCGACGAATTCATTATCGACGGGAGTTCGAAAATCGAAGATCTCGACATCGCGAATAGATAAATCTTCTGAGTATACGCGAGAAAAAGTTTTCTATTTTTTTGTATCCGTTAAAAAAATTTTTACTCGAATAAAATTCTTCGATTTTATTAATTCTATTGTATAATGTTACGTGTGTCGTAACAAACGTAAAGAAAGTATATAATTAAATCGATTTTGTTATTTTGTATGATAGTAAGGAATATGTAACGATCGCACTTAAAGATTGGAATTTGCGGAAGTTTTTTGCATAATGCAGCTAAATGTCACAATAATAAGAAAAATAATATCTCCTTCGAGAAATAACGTATTATTAGCGGTAAAATATCATATATGATATTTTGCCGCTATCTAATGCGTTATTTAAAAATAACTGATGTGATATCGCGTATCTTACATTGTTTAAGAAAAAGGGATTTATCTACGACATTTTAAAAAATTTGAGACACTGTGATATATGTATACGTAGTTCAGCGAGAACTCGATAGATTGTGCACCCTGTACCGCGACGACGTCGTGTTCTCTTCAAAGCATCTGGCCTGCGCACAATCTCGCAAGCGGTATCATATAATCTAATATTTTTAAATATATCAATCAGATAATATAATTCTTTATATCTAATATTGTTTAATACAACACAATTAATTTTGTATTTTGATCAAAGCGATGTAAATTTTTCGGATAAATATAAGTATATAAATCGGTTTGCACAGATAATTATCTATAATAAATCAGTCTATTTTTATCGTATTAATAAATATCTTTCCAATATAATTTTCTACTTAGGAACATTTACATATGATATAAACACTTAATTATATATTAACTACAAACTAAAACACTGTTCCGCCGCTTTCACGAACCTTCACTCCGGTTTGAAAGGCATATCGAATATGACTTTGAAGAAAAAGACTAGTCTTCAAAAGTCTACCTTGTTATAAATCATAAACATATTCCGATAACTTTTGCGGCCAGTCGCAGAGTCAACAGTCATTTAATGCATACTTAAAGAAAAGAAGAAACAACGTAGGAACTAGATCAAGGAACTAATCCCCATTTAACAACAAATTCTCGATAGCGAAAATTGAAACTCCAACTTGGACATCTTAGCTTCGACTTGGCCAAGAAAATTCTTTATTAACTTAAAGATAAATTCCCATATATCTTGACACTACTGAAATTTAATATTAGTCATTTAAGAATTAACGTATAGTAGATATTTTCTATCTGTAAGTCTTCGACTCTTCGACAGAAAATTAGATTGCTGCCGAAGTTTCAAGTTAAGTCGCCGAAGTCGAAGCATCAACTTTCGCCATTGGGAATTCGCTGTTAAATGGCGATCAGCAGCTTTCAAGTCCACTTTTTGAGTCGTTCAACTCTTCCTTTCTTCGGTTCTTCATACTAATGCCAACAACGATGTTGGTCACGAGAGCAATCAAAATATGTTTATAATTCATAACATATGTCTATAAGACAGACTTTCAAAAACAAATCTTTCTTTGCTGCATTTCATATTTTAAAATTAAAAGGAAAACGTTTGATACATTGCCTAATTTGTTACAGATATTGGTTACGTTTTAAATAAAAAATTCTGTGACAGCAA